AGAATAGAAGAGTCATGGGATCTCACTGCATCTTACAAGGTGCACCCCACTGCTGGGGGAAGCTGGGCAGTTGAGGGGACATGATATGAATCAGGAGAGCTGCCCAGGACGTCACTAGGAAAGAAGTGGTAGATGTTATAAAACATCATTAATTTCCTGTAAATGTTGACTCACTTAACAAACACATGCTCTATAACAATGGATATGGTTTTTCCTGGATTATCAAAGGGCTTAGTTCTGGTGGAGCAGAGCGTACTAGATTGCTTTAGTGTCTACAGTCATACCACCCTGAATGTGCCCAATCTCATCTGATCTCGAAGCTAAGCAGGTTCAGGCCTGGTTAGTACTTGGATGGGAGATTTTTTTTTGGTATGAAAGGCTAAGAAGTTAGGGTAAGCTTCCTAGAGGAGCACAGACTCGTAGAGTCCACCCCGGGAAGACTCAGAATAGGAAATGGCAGCATACATTGTTGAGGTTGATTGAGACCAGACCATATTGAAACATCAGATCCATCTGCAGCTGATGGGAACAGTTAAACAATTATGAGAAGCTGTGAGAATACCGAAGGCATGGAAATCAGTTGAAGTACTGTGCTTGTCCAGGGCAGTGATCATAAACCAATAATTATTAACCACATGCTGTCTAGCAAGCACTATGCCAAGTACTTTAGGTATATAAACTCAGTCCTTAGCACAACTCTGTCAAGACAGGTGCCATCATTATGAGTGTTTCGCACAGGCACTCAGACACGCTCAGGAAACCTGCCTGAATACAGGGAAGGCAGTGGTGCTAAAACTTTAAAGAGGGAGCAGAATTTGAACTCATGAATTCTGACTTAGAAATTCAGGTTCTGGTGCCCTGCTATCCTCCAGTCTCCCATGCATCTCATGAAGATAGGAGCCCATGAGTTCGGGGAGAGTTGTAGAGGGTCTCTGATGTTTCTCTCACATGAATCTTTCATTAGCCATCACTTTTCATCCCATCATCTCCTTTCTTGGCTTTGTCTTTCTTTGCCAGTTCCGTTGTTGCCTTTGTGGAATCAGTACAATGAGAGTAGATATTAAGAATGTGGTTATAAATAATCATCACCTTGGCAGGTAACCGAAGTCCATGGTGTTATCTCATTGCAGAACTTCTCTTTTTTCTTCAAAAAAGATTTATTTATTTTTATTGGGAAGTCAGATATACAGAGAGAAGGAGGGACAGAGAGAAAGATTTTCCATCTGCTGATTCACTCCCCAAGTGGCCGTAATGGCCAAAATTGGGCTGAGCTGATCCAAAGGAAGGAGCCAGCAGTTTTTTCCAGGTCTCCACCCAGGTGCAAGGCCCCAAGGCTTTAGGTTGTCCTTGACTGCTTTCCCAGGCCACAAGCAGGGAGCTGGAAGGGAAATGGGGAAGCTGGGACACAAACCAGTGCCCATTTGGGATCCCGGTGCATGCAAGGTGAGGACTTTAACCACTAGGTTCCTGTGCTGGACTCTGATTGTAGAACTTCTTACCATTGGAAGTACATCAAATTGAATGTACTTTGCTTCTTCTCTCCTACAGCTTTTGTCTGAGAGTAGCACATACTAAATGAATTAAATTATCATTTATCAGTACTAAATGAGATTATTGTGCAAGAAGCTGGTACCTGAAGAAAAGTACACCTTTGGAAAAATTATTTGGAACACAAGCACAGGCTGTAAATAGTCATTATATAACTGTTCTGTCAAAATGTGGAGAATCTGAGTAGTGTGAGGAATTTATAGACAAGAACACCCAACTTCATTTGCCAAAGAGCTGTTAGCTCCGTGGCCTTGGCTCTGACAGATTACCCTCAGGACGGTATTATTTCCTTCTCTGGGTACATGCAGGGAGCCACCAAGCATCCGCATCATTGCCGTGTGGCTGTTAATGATATTATTACATTCCATAAAAGCACCATCCTTGCCATACCTTAGGCCAAATATTATTCCAGCAAAGTAAATGGAAATGTCTGGCTTTAACAGGCATTCAGGCTTAAAGTGTGATATAGGGAAACAAAAATAACAAGTAATAGATTTTTCATGCAGAGGTACTAGATGTAGCCCCAGCGGTAGGACTGGAGGCCAGCAGTCTACTGGGTCTCAATGAGCCCCTGATCAAATGAGCCAGACCTGTCATGGGACCAAAGATGGCGGGAGGAGGAAAGGGGCAAGCACAAAGAATACAGCATGGGTTTTTTGCGCTAAGAAAAAGAAAACAAAGTTTTATCTGGGAAAGCCAGGCAAGATTTCAAAATAGAGTGATGGCCACCAAGAAGCAGTCTTCAAGAGCCCCATATGTTTTAGACTCCAGCAAAGCTGAACACACAAGGCTGAGGTTCTCAGGCCAGACTTGAGAAAGTCTTGTGTAGCACCAGGCCTGCCTGTCTGATTCTCCTCAAGTCACGTTCCAGGTCAGGAGCGTTTTTATTTTTGAAATCCAGGTGCACAAGTAGGAGAAGGGAGGAAACAGTGACACCCATCTTTTTAATGAGCAGTGCTCCTGGAAGAGAAATTAGCATCACCCTGAGTTTTATGTGATGTCAGTTAAATGAAGGTGTTTCATAGCACTTTACAACAAATTAGAATCAACCAAATTGAAAATAAGCCCAGCAGCTGGAATCAGTAATCAGGTAAGTGGCCAGTTTTGCTATTTTTGCTTTGAGCCCTAAAGACAGAATTTGAATTTCAAATGTCCCAGAGGTGTGAGTTTCATAACCGGTGGAGAAGGTTCCTAGGGTGATTGTTGGAGATGCCATGGTTCAGCCTGGTTCTCTCCAGTCTAAACTTGCTGAGCCTGTTCCCTGGAAACTGTCCCCTGGAGCATGCACATACACCAGAGAGCCAGTTTGTGAATTACTGCAGAGCAGAGCTCTGCTCTTGGCTGAACATTAGAGAGCAGCCTGGAAGTAGATGACCCAGAACAAGGCAGTCAATCATCCTCATTAACCGAGACTCTAATGAAAGGACTCAGATTCACAGGAAGCCTTTATGACCACTTGTGAAATCAGCACAAATCAGATCAACTATTAGAACACTTGATGCTTTAAGAAAATGAGGACTGTATTCAGTTGCTGTAATTTGCATATAGTCAGAGTGTCCTGACATGATCAATGCCGGCTTTGGTGGACAGAATTTCACAGCTGAGCTTTTGACTGCAGCAGCCAATGGCTTTTTTCCGGGGGAGGGGGCGGTCAGCAATTAGTGGGTGCTCTTAATATCAAAAATACGTTCAGGAAATTGTTGAAAGACCAAAAGCAGCTTAGAGGTGTTAGCCACCCTATGGTTGGCAGCTTAGGATATACCCGATGTGTGTGTGTGTGTGCTTGCTTCTGTGGACAAAAAAGAAAGGAGAAAAAGATGAGCAGCACAGGGAACATTGGCAAAAGTGAAGCTGTGCAGGTTGCTGAGATGGAAGTGTTGGGGCCACAAATTGAAGATAACATGATGCTTATAATTAAGGTTCGTGAAGGAAGAGGGCTGTATCAGATATATAATTTTCATTTTTCCTGCTCTGTAACTGATAGATTCAATGAAATGAACTAATCTACAGAGAATCCGTGTTATTGAGGTTATCAGTCAAACTTACAGGAAAATAACATCTGCAGATTAGCTTTTACTTGAAACACTTTTCTCGCCATATTTATATGTACACTGCTTCCTCAAAAATTTCTTTAAAAAAAAATCAGATAATTTAGTCATTGTTGTGGCTGGTAAAGCCACTACCTGTGACACTGGCATCCCATATGGCAACTGCTTTGTGTCCTGCTGCTCCAGTTCCTATTCAGCTCCCTGCTAATGGCCTGGGAAAGGCGATGGAAAATGGCCAAAGCCTCTTGGGGCCTTACCATCCACATGGGAGACCCGGAGGAAGTTCCTAGCTTCTGGCTTCCACATGGCCCAGCACTAGCCCTTGAGACCATTAGAAGAGCCAGATGATTAAAGATTTTCTCTTTCTCCTTTTTCCCCTCCTTCTCTCTGTAACTCTTGACTTTCAAATATATTTTTTAAAAATCAGGATAATATCTTAGATCCCTGAAGCAGTAGATGATTTCCCTCATTACAAAGAAAGCCTACTCCCTTAATTTCCTCAATGATTTCCCCTCATCACCAGCCCTTTACTTGACCCACAATAGTTTATCCTCAAAATGTGGATATCAGAAGAGCAAAATTTTTAAATTTCCAGCATTGCCTACCCCCATCACCCCCTTTTTCCTTTCAATTCATTGTGATCATGACCAATATCCTAAGTCAGAGGAGTCAGCAAGAAAAGGTGAGTTCTCTACTAGAGTGTCCAGTGTGTGACAATGCCCTGGAGAAGAGGAGAGGCCCCTGGTCTCAGGCCACCTTTGGTGCCCTCTTGCCAGTCCTGGGCAGTCACTGTGGCGCGGTGTTGTTCAAGGTATCATCACCTCATTGATTTGATAGATTGCTGTGCTCTGAAAGCATTAGAGCATCCACGCGAGTGTAGAGGTTACTCTATTGCATTTTATTGTATTGATAAAAGTCGGTACAGAGAACTGAGTGAAATTTATAAGACAAGAGTTCAAATGTGCTGACCTATTGCTTCCCAGGATAGTTTTTCCCACCCGCACTGCTCTTCTTTGTTTTGTGCTGCCCTCTCCTGGCTAATAAATCTCTTCATAATGAGCGTTCACAAAAACCAACTGGTGGAATCGCTGGGCTCATCTGTCATTTCTACTTTCTGTTAGCAAGTAATTTTGAATTTTATTACATGAAATGTGAGGTTGATGTGGAGTGATTAATTCAGATTCACATAGATACAAGATTGCTGAAATGATATAAATTGTAGTAGAAAAATATCTGCATGAGAGTAATTTGGTCATTTATATGGACTTGGTAATATCTGTGAGAGAAATGGTTCTGCAGTTTATTGCATCATTAGTCAAATTTTCTGAATCATTGATGTGAAAATCCAGTGTTATTGGAAATAATCCGGACACATTTTCTGCATGTTTGTTTTTTTTTTAACAGTGGCTGCTAACTTACAGAAGATTGTAGATGATCCCAAAGCTTTAAAAACATTGACATTTAAGTTGGTAAGTGGAAAGTTACGAAAGGGAAGGCAATTTTTTGCCATGCTGTGCAAGAAAGGAGTAATGACAGTGTGTAATGGCCTGCTGTGTGATTGTGTTGTTGCTGTTGTTTTCTTTGGGGATCAATTCCCCTCCCCTCCTTGTCATTTGCCTCTGCAACATTTGGGAACATTTTCTGATCATAACTGGCAACTTCCTGTTCTGCAAGCACCACATTGTTCTTTTGTTATCGTGTCATTGATAAAGAGTGGCCATTTGGGGAACCTCGATGCCTCTACTCACTATTTTGATTCCAGTTTGTACGAAAACTTGTCCCATGTAGACAGAATTCAGCTGGATTCAAAGCAGTACCTCTGCAGAGGTGGAAAGCCAAGGGATTGTACCTTTTTAAAATGAAGACTGATTGCTGTAAAAATGGGTAATCAGAAGTGATTGTAGCACAGCTCACCAAAGGCTAGTCAACAGAGACAACATTCTTCCGCCACTTTTTAAATCACAGTAACAGGTTTGTATAGAGAAGGCATCACTCAGTCATTTTGCTGCACCAGTAGGTTTTTAAGCATGGAGATACAGTTTATTAGGCTTTCTGGGGTCATTGCGAAGTCAAGAAATGCTGGCATTATCTGGAGATGGAGAGACAGGCATCACCAACAGTGGTTGTTTCCCTGAAAGTTGTAGCAAACTATACATTAAGGCCTGGCAAGTGGCTGATTTTACAATTATAGATTATTCTTAACAAGGGCCAGTCAGAATGTCACAAGCAATTTAAGATACAGATGACCAACATTAGGCTGTGTACAACATATATTGACAATCTGCCTTTTTAAAAAATTTCTTGTGAAAATTAAATGGAAAATGTGTGTCACCTAAAATGCTAAGTGATGAGTTATGGTAAATGTGAGCCCAGTGCTAATGAACTTTTCAGATCTTCCTGTATAATTTTAGATTAGATAGCCTGTGTGGCAAAAGAAAAATACAAAGATTTCCACAGGATGTACTGGGGAAAATGTTTTGGTTTTTTCCTTAAAAAAAAAAAAGTATTTTATGAGACACTGAAGTGCTGGATTAACAAATGACAAAATGTGTCTTCAGGTTTGGGCCTACCCTGCCATCTCTGCTGTGTTGCTAATTTGCCTACAGTTGCAAACATGTGTCATTGACATGAAAGTAGAATGATGAGGAAAAGTGACCTCAGGTCACCTTTCAAGCTGATGAAAATAGACCTTTATCCATTTTTAAATACCACCTCCAGAATACTTTGCCAGCATTGAATATGTAAACAGAAAGAAGAGTTTGAAAATTTTCCTGTGTCTCAAAATTTGCTTTTATAAAACTAGAGAAATAACCCTAGCCTTTTTGCTACTTCTGGAGGATTTGTAAAAGCAGCAGTTATATTATCTCCAGGTAAACAGTAAAAATGTTATGGAGACCTCCCTCATCTCCTGCTCTGAGCAGTCCCTGTGTTTCCCTGGATTCTCATTCTGTCCTGCCCACCTGTGTTCCCAGGAGAATCTTCAGAACCTGGCTTTCTGCCACCCACATGCCCATGTCTGGTTCTGTGTACCACCCTGTGGCTATAGTCAGAGTCCTCCTCTTACAATTCCAAAATGTCCCAGTGTCCTCTAACCACCAACACCTTTGACCATGGCTAACAAAGCTCACCCAAGTCAGACCTCTGTGTTAGAGCTCTGTCTTGGCTTTGTGTCTCATTTCTTGTCTCTTGTGAATCCTGAGGCTGCATGTGGTTAACCTGCCCAGGATCACACAGTGGAGACTGTGAATTCAACTCTGACCTCAATACCCACCCATGAGCATCTGTCCCCTTCTGCAAGGCCTGACCCTGCAGCCCTATCATTTCCCAGCTTTTCCATTCCTTAATGGATTTGCCCTTCTGCCTACGTGGAGACATGGTGATGGGCTCAGACAGAATTTCCTTTGTACCTTAAGCAGATGGAGTAATATTGGCTTGTCCAGCACAGGAGAGTCCCAGAAGCAAGTTTGTACATGTTTTCCTCCCATTATTGCTTGATGTAGTAGCAGTGGTGTGGTGTTCTCACTAAATGAAATTTGACAGATTTCTCTCCTACCCTAGAAGAAACACCAGTGTTAACTCAAGTACTGTAGTGACCCATTTCTTTAACTTTTCATTCATCCCAGGTTAAAATCAGGAGGGTTTCTTTGCTAACAGCTGCCAGCCTCTCTGAGACCCGCTTGATAAAGCTAAATTTAAACTGATTTTTGGCTGACTCTACTGTAGGACACTAACATCCTCATAAAACCATAGAGATCCAAGTATGTTTGCTGTCATTTATCAATTTGGTGATGCTATTGAAGAATAAAAGATCAAAGCATTTCAGCAGCATTTGTCCTCATAAGCTGCTACTGTGCACAGTTCTTTTATCTCTTGGCTGTTTATCATGATTGTAATCTCAGCGCTTTCATTGCTTTCCAGAGGAGAATGTGAGGGGCCTGGAAATTTCTGGTTCTGAGGTTCTTTATTCCACACCCAGCTTTCACTCGGCAGGAGGGCGGGGGTTGGGGCGGTATTGGGGATGCTTTAAAGACAAGATGCCTAGTCCCATGGCAGGTGTCCAGGTTTAATTGCCAGGTTTTGCAAGCACTCCTGTGCTTAGCCAAGGATGAGAAGCAGGAAGCGTTCTGCTTTGCTGATGGTTCACTCAGTACCCAGCCTCTTTCATCCCCTCCCACCACAGTTAGAAAATCTAGGGTCAGTCCATACTTTGTATATGTTCCAGAACAAGAAAAACTATACCCTGCAGAGGTAGGGTTTGGTTTTTCATGAAGTGCATGTACTTTTTTCCTTGTCCTATAAGATCTTTCATTTCACTTGACAAATAGATAGAATAAGGATGTCTTCCCTGGTTGGTTGGACCGGACAGAAGCCAGGAGCTTCTTCTGGGTCACCCACATGGATGGCAGGGGCCCAAGCACATGGGTCATTTTGTGCTGCTTTTCCAGGCCATCAGCAAGGAGATGGATAGAAAGTGGAACAGCCAAGATTTGCACTAATATTCATATGGGGATGCCAGTGTCACAGGCAGTGGCTTTACCCACTATATCACAACTTTGCCCCAAACACTTAGATATTAAAAGGACAGAAAGTAATAGGTAGTGAAACTGTAACAAGGAAGTGGTAGCTTGGTGAGGTTTATAGACAAGTGTCTCTTGGTGCTGCTTCCCCGTATCTGTTGGGAAGAATATCATTCTCCCAGGTGCTGTGAAGATGCTATATAGGAGTTTTATCTTTTATTCAGGGAGGTCTAAGTGCACTTCCTGCACCTGCTGTTGTTTGTTTGTTTACTTCTTTGATTCTTAAGGATCTTTAACTCCTCCATCAACATGCCAGAGAGGCAAACTTGGGGTGGTATGTTCTGAGATCCTTCATTTGGAGCTGTAGATTATAACTATAAGTCTTGAACTGCTGAAGTTCCATGAGGATTCCTTTCAAGGAATCCTGGATGTTGAAATGTTTTCATTATATTGCTGGGATTAATTATGTTTCATCATAATGTTGAGATTAATTCACCTTTTTTGACCAAGAGGTGTAAAAGCCACATAAAAATGATATCAGGATAAATTAGTGCTCTAACAGCAAGTTCTTTAAAGCCCTCGTATCTCACTCATTCGCTGCATAAATTAAATCCAGTTTTCCTTAGGAATTTTCCTAGTGATAGGAAACTTCGATTTTATTAAATTTCAACATGAGGCCGCTTCTGTTATATATACCATGTGATGAAGTGGGAATCACTTGTACATCAGACTAAAATAATATTTCAATAATCCCAATATTGGGGAACTATACCTTTTAAAATGTTCAAGTTTTTTAAAAAATGGATTTATTTATTTTGCAAAAGTTACAGAGAGAGCCCTTTTATCCTCCAGTTTACTCCCTAGATGACTACAGTGGCCAGGGCTGAGCAGGGCCCAAGCCAGGAACAAGGATTTTCCATGTTTGCCTAATGAGTAATTGGGACTTAAACACTTGATCCATCTTCCATTGCTTTTCCCCAACCATTAGCAGAAAGCTGGATCATAAGTGGAGCTGGGACACCAACAAGAACACATATAGGACGCTGAAACCACAGGCTTAAGCTAGCCTAGGAACATCACTTTTAGTTGGAAGAAAACTGACAAATTATTGGTAATGATGTGGATATTTAGCAGGCTTTTTAAAAACTTAAACAAAGTAAGGCTTACACTGAAGGGAAAGCAATGCCCATATTTATTGTCAATAATAAATTGGAGCTGTCAAGCCAAAGTAGGATTTTGGAAAGCCTGTATCTTCTGTTGCTAGTATGACAGTTCCCCCTGACTGGGGTTACAGCAACGTGAATTGTTGATGTTATCTAATGATAATACATATTGCATGCTGAAATAATAACATTTAGAAGATCTGCATAGCACAATGATGATTTATTATGATGCATGGGTTAGATATCCATTCACAGTACAGACAGATTAGTGTGTATGAAAAATTCAGTGTCCCATTTTCAAATTCCACATTGAGAGTAGCTTTCAAGATACTCTCCCTTGGGTTTATTTGTTAACAAATGAAATCCACAACTTTCTGCAAAGGCTATTCAAATACCTTTGCCCTTTCCAATCATACATTTGTGTAAGGCTGCATTTTCTTCATGTACTTCAAGGAAAACAAAGCAAAGCATTGCATTGACATCAAAGAAGTTTGCAAAAGATGTAAAGCAATGGCTATCCTGCCAGTCTTTTATTTTTGTTTTTGATGCTATGAGAGCTGGTTATCTTTCACAAAGACTGTTCTAGCATATATAATGAGCTTATTGTTGTTAGGCTTGAGTTAGTAAATAAGTATTTTTTTTTTTTACAAACCAAATTTGCTTTAAAAGCAAATTTGAAAGATGGAGTGACAGAGTGAAGGGAAGAGACAGAGAGGGAGAAACGTATTTTCTGTATGTTGGTTTACTCCTGAAATAGCTACGACAACCAGGTACAAGCAAGGCTAAAGACAGATGCCAGGAACTCCATCCTGGAATTATAACATGGGTTGCAGCGTCCCAAGCACTTGGGCCATCTTCTGCTGCTTTCCCAAAGCACTTTGTAGGAAGCTGTATTGGAAATAGAGCAGACTGGACTCAAACATGTGTTCCAGGATGAGATGCCAGCCTTGCAAGTAGCAGCTTGAGCCACTACAGCACAATGTAAGATCCTCAGCTGTCATTTTTAAAAGTAAGTACAGGGCCTGTCACAGTAGCCTAGTGGCTAAAGTCCTCGCCTTGCACACGCCAGGATCCCTTATGGGCACCAGTTAGTGTCCCAGCTGCCCCACTTCCCATTCGGCTCCCTGTTTATGGCCTAGGAAAACAGTTGAGGATGGCCCAAACCTTTGGAACCCTGCATCTGCATGGGAGACCTAAAGGAGCTCCTGGTTCTTGGCTTCAGATCAGCTGAACACTGGCCTTTGCAGCCACAGGGGGAGTGAATCAACAGACAGAAGATCTTTGTCTCTCGTTCTCTCTGTATATCTGACTTTCCAATAAAAATAAGTGTATTTTTTAAAAAGTACAATGGCTATGAACTACATCAAATATGTTTTGTATTTTAAGATGTATTAAACATTGTTTTGTTATTTTAACAGTGTTAAAACATTTAAATTTTGAATTTTCTGTTATAATTTATCAATTTAATAAGTATAATCAACATGTGCATAATTTTTAATAGTTTAAGGGTCCTTTGAGACCCTTTGCTGCTTTGTAAGGGTCTTTTTGGTTCCTTGTCCATGAATTTTGGAGACGTTGTCATATTGCCCTAGTCACTTGCAGGCCAGGAGAGGCCAAGAGTCAGCTCTGGTTAAAAAGGGCATGAGTAGTGGAGGCGGGAGGGCCAGGTGCCTTGAAGCAAACAGAGCCCAACAACATGGGCAGGGAACCTGCACAAGACAGGTGTTGGGCCACCCAGACCCAGCAGTGACTCCCTATGTACTATATCTAAATTAACCAGAATCCAGTCACCCCATGCTCATTGTAAATTCTTACTTTCATTACTCTTTATGAGAAGGGATTTCATACATTTCTTTCATTTCTAATCATTGTAACCCTTATAGAATGTTCAGTTTTTATTCCCAGTCATTGCAACTTCCTGGTACACATTTTGGCCAACTTTCAAATGCAGGTGAATATTGGGCTACCACGTGACAAAACAGCAGCTGGAACACCTTCTGTGTCTGGGCCACTTTGTTCAAAGTGATAAGGAAGAAGCTTAGCTGTTCCCAGTGTACCCACCAACACAAGCAATTAGAATTGTGTCTCTCTGAACATCGGGCATCTGTAAAGTACCATTACACAGACTTGAAGGACACTCTTCTTAAATGCTGACCAATATCCCTGCCCTTTAGGCTAATGACTGCCTTTATTTTTCATATTCAAGGGAATGTCCTGGTTGCCTATTAGATAGAAAATGCTAGAGCTGACAAAGCTGTTGTTATGCACTGCTTTTTTTTTTTTTTAACATTCTAAATGCAAGCAGTGTTAAGCAGGTTAATTGTGGTCATTGATAGGATCATTTTCCATGGGCAACTACTTGTTATAAAAATGAGATTTGGGCAGGAATTAGGTCCACTAAAGGTTTCTGTGGTCCTTTTATAATTAATTGTGTGTTCTCAGTCATTCATCAGACTTTCCTCTCCTCTTCTGGTCTTATATAATGCCCAACTCTGATAACTGTGCATTCTAAGAGAAAGTTTAAAATGGTGATCTGAATGGCGTGAGTGCGTGGACTGAAGTACCAGATGGAAGGAAGGGTGCAAGGTAACAAAAAAATAGAAATAATGAACTAGGACCAGAGGGATATTTGAGGGATAAAGGCTTACTTCCAGTGCCTTCTGATTAAAAACAAAATGAAACAAAACAAACAAACAAAAAAAACCCAAATGTATTTGAAAGAGGTAGAAGCAGATCTTGCACATACTGATTCACTCCCCAAATGACTACATCAGCCAAAGTTGTGCCAGGTGGAAGTCCCGGGCCACAGACTCCACCCAGATCTCCCATGTGGGTGCAGGCTGTCACTTACCACCTTCCAGGGGACACATTAGAAGAAGTGGGAATGGAGAGCACCTCCAGGACCTGAACCCAGGTGCTCCCACATGGGATTCAGGTGACTAATACATGTTACAATGCTGCTAAATTTTGGTGATGGAAAATAATTCCATTGTATTACCTTTCCTTACTCACTGGTATTTAGATGGCAGCTGTCTTCTTTTGTTTCTTTTTTTTGTTTTTTTACAGAAGATTATTTTGGTAAAAAGTAAATTGCTCCTGCATGACCATTTAGATTGGTTCTGCTTGTTTTTATAATATTCCTTTATTATTTTTTTATTTTAACAATCTTTACATAGTTAATTTGGGTAAAAAGGTTCAAGGACTAGAGGAAAGTGGATAAGATTATTATTTCCGTATGGTTTCCTTCATGTATCTGAAGTAAAGGGGCATATTGAGGGAGAAGCCCCACCCGGTTTCCCACCCACCCCAAGTCCCTTATGTGGGGCATGCTCTGAGATACTCGCTCAAGCGGTTTCGATAGTTCACCAATCTCACCTCTCCAAACATGATGAGGTCGTTGAAAAATCCACTGATTGATATTGTCCATCATAGCATCTTTATTTGCCTGGTATTTTGTTGTCAACCTATAGCTGAGGTGGTTGATTAACTTGTTCCATCTTCTGTCCTTTCATGGTTAGGGTTCTGAGTCCGGCAATATTCTTTTTCAAATTAGTATTGAGAAGATTTAATTAGAAGGTACATTCAAAATAACTTTATTTTGTTGAGAAACATTTATGTTTTTTCTTAAGTCACAGGCTTTCTGGACAGCTCTAAAGCTCACCTGCCAGGGTGTGGTATGTGGTTTTAAGGGATAATAAACCCTCAACCCACCCACCCACCACCACCAACAACACACACACACACCTCTGCTTGTGCTTGCTAGCAGTGGCCAGATTGCTGGCATCACTGGCAGCCAGCAGTCATCCCAGTGTTCAGGACTTGTGGAGGAGCCAGGACTCCCAGTCTCAGGCCATGCCGTGGCTTAGATCTTGCTACCACACAAAGGAGGCTTTGAAGACCTGAGGGTGACCAACCCACGCTGAGGAGTTCTCTTTCCCTTTCCAGGCTTCCGGCTGTGACGGGTCGGAGATTCCCGATGAAGTGAAGCTGATCGGCTTTGCTCAGCTGAGCGTCAGCTGATGTATGTCCAGCGACATCACCCTGATCTGTTATGCCCTGGCCAGCCGCACCCAGCTCCCTACACACTCCCTCTTACCCTTCACCCCCCCAGTCCCCAGCAAAAATCAGAAGATTGTGAAGATGCTGGCTTCGGTGAAATGGGATCATTTGTTTTTTTTTTTTTAAACCTACAACACTCTTGAGTTCTGCTTTACTCTCTAGCAGTCCACAGTATGAGAACAAGCAAATGCCGCAGCTGCACGACTCTTGCTAGTGTTTTTCCCAAAGCTATTGAATCAATTCTTAGCCATCAATGAGGATATCCCTTAAGTGAAAAGCATCTGAATACTCTCAGGTGGTACTATTTATTGGCGATAAAAGGAATTTTCTATCAGAAGCCTATTTCTTCTTTGCGTTGTTGTTACTTCTGTCATAATACCTTAATTGTACATCTGACAGTACTGCCTCTTTTATGTTGTATCTAGACATTAATATACTTATAAAATTAAGATTTATTAGCCAAACTTGAATTCTAGTTTTAAAACTGACTGTGAATTTTATTTTTCATATATTTATGCATATACACCTTAGCTATAAGAAGAAAAGTTTTGATTATATGCTTCTTGCAGTTAATCTCTTGTTATCTAAACAAGAAGTTTCAGGTCTATCTTTGGAGTATTTGTAATTTCTAATTTTTGAAATGACTGAATTAAGAACTCGGATGCTTCTTCTTTTTGGTTTGTTTACCAAAACACCAACCCACAATTCTGATTGTCTCTTGGGAGAGGGAGGTGCCTTGCAAACTTTCATATTAAGAATGTGCCTGAGGCTGTTTTCCTTTGAAATAGTCTCAGATCTAAAACTTCCTCTATATAAGGTGGTATATGTAAGATTTGCTGTATTGGAACCATGTAGAACTGTATAAAACGTTACCAGTTTGTTAGATTGCTAACTATATACCCATCCCTGATTTGGCTGTCCTTACGTGATAGGATTTGTTATTCTTAAAGGTGATAAAACTTGAAAATACCAGAATCTGAGTTTTACTTGAAATTCTGCAGAATATCCAGATGGAGTGAAAGGAATGGAAAAGATTTCGTGCAATGACTGAAAGGTGAAATGATGTTCAGTTTCAAGAATAAAATGCTTTGAACCCAAGTAGCCCTCTGCGTGACTACACGTTACGGATCTAGATGCACCTTAGGGTTTTCACAGTTGGAGTCTGAGCTTCCAGGGAGATAGGCTCCCAGGTTGGTACCATTGCTCTTTCCTAGCTAACCCTAGATACGGCAGCTCTTTAATGTACTTTAAAAAGCAAATATATATTACTAAGAAAAAAAGTTATTTATAATTGCCTTGTCATAACTGTTAAGGTGTTCTAGAGCCATTTGCATACAATTTCATGTAATTTCATTCCATTCTGTTGTTTACACAAAGAAGACTCAAAGATGACTGCAAAGGTAAAAAGGACAATAAAAGTGTATTGCACAAGGACATGGTGTCATGGTGTTCCATCCCCCCTTTGGGTATTGTCTACATGGTTGTAATAATGTTTAGCACTTTCATAAGAGGCAGAAAAATTGGGCATCACTGCCGTCACAATCTAACCTGACATGTGAGTTGGACTGGCTTAATGGAAGAAGGAAGGCAGACATTCCCGCTCTTAAGACAGACCTGAGTAGGAGCCAGAGGACTGCCAGAGCACAAGAGGGAGTGGTTCCTCACCACTGCTTCATTCATTCTAGAGGTGTGGCTGCTGGGGTTCAGGGTGCATAGGTGACTTATCCCAGGCCCTCTACAGAACCACTTCCAGAGCTGGAACCCCATGTCTTCATTTACCTGACATACAGAGCCCATCCTTAAAACCCTTTTGCATGACTTGTCATTTTCTTTTGTTAAAACAAAACCCTGAGTTCCATGTAGAAAGTAAAAATGCACATAACTAAATGGAAAACTTTGCAACATGATAATAAATGTCACACCATATGTATTTAATATCTGCTTATATTCTCAGATCCTTCCTAATGGCATTCGAGAAAAGTTGCATAAAAATTATTCTAAAAGCTGTAGAAAAAATTAAGTTTGAGATGGTAAGAATTGGTTTGCAAAATGAATATTAATGCAGAAAAACTCACCATTAGACTACAGTATAATTGTTAGGGGAATACATACATTTGGATGAGAGGAGTCTTCCTACCATATTACCTTATTTTGCAGTCTACAAAAGCAATCTACAAATCTGATGCAATCCATAGCATAACTGTGGTTTTCACAGAAATAGAAAAAAAAGTTGTGGAACTACAAAACACCCTAAACAGCCAATACAGTCTTCAGCAAGAGCAAAATTAGTGCTATCCTGCTTCCTGATTACATTGTTGATGGGAATGTAAGCTACTAAGGGTGGAGACTCCAATGAATGTCTCCCATGTGGGTGGCTGGAACAGACACTTGAGCCATCATCTGCTGCCCACCCGTGTACCCAGGAGCAGGAAGGTGGAAATGGACGGAGCCAGGACTTGACCCCGGCACTTCAGTGTGGGATGTGAGCATCCCAAGTGTTGTAAAAACCACTGTGCCAAATACTTGCCCCTGTAAATTTAATTTTAAGATGATAGTTATGAGAAACATTGGCCATAAACAGGTGATGTTATAGTAACAGTGTCTGCTATGTATTAGCATAAACTAAAAATCCAAATGTAATGAGTTTGATTTTTTAAAGATTGATTTATTATTTGAAAGTCATGGTTACAGACAGAGCTTCCATTCCCTGACTCACTCCCCAAGTGGCCGCAGTGGCCGAGGCTAAGCCAGGTTAAAGCCAGGAGCTTCATCTGTTTTTCCCACGTGGGTGCCAGGGGCCCGAGCACTTGGATCATCTTTTGCTACTTTTTCCAGGCCATTAGTAGAGAGCTGGAATGGAAGTGAACAGCTGGACGTCAATTGGCACCCATATTACCCATTTCATCACAAAACTGGCCCATCTGTTTAAGTCTCCTTTAAGTTGATACAATGCTTTCTGGGTTTGGCTTGTTTTGCTTTGACTAAATTGTTCAAAGTGAATACAGTGAGTGGATTCTATGAGCATACATTGAACATACGATGATAATGACTTCATTAACACCCTACATAACTAATCATTCATACTCCAAACAGGCAGGCATTTGATGTGGCTGTTGAGATGCTGCTTGGGACTTCCACATACCCTGTAAGAGTGTCTAGTTCAGATACCACCTCTGGGTATGATTCCAGTTTCCTGCCAATGCCTCCTGGAATGCAACAGCCAACTCAAGAATTTGGGTCATCAGAGACACTCATATTGGATCCTGGTTCCTGGCTTCTGCTGGGCCCATCCCTTGCTATTACAAATGTTTAAGCAATGAACGAGTAAATGGAAGATATCTTTCTGTGTGTGTCTGCCTTTCAGATAAAAGGAAGAAAAAATTTTTAAACATACCAAAGCATCATTAAAAAGGAGATACTCCTCCCCACTGAAATGAACACACCATTTAAAATGGTCCAGGTTGTTAACACAAGTTTTGTGTCAAACCAGCACCACAGCAATGGATGTTGATTTAATGGAGTGACCCCAGGTAAACAAGGATCATATAGCTAAGAAAGATGCACACAGTTTTCTACCCACATGATTTGTATCCTACCCAACAAGTGTCATTAGGTGAAAGAGCTTAGTGAGGACTTATAATTAACCTCACAGTTCATCAAATGACAATGAATGATATTAAAATTATAATTTTACGCTATTCTTGAGTGTGCTACAACATGATGAAAAGTAAGAAACAGTTGTATTCCCATGGTGAGTTTCTCGGGAATACTTGCTTGAGAAAGCACGATTCCTTTCATAGGGCTTCCCTCCAATGACACTGGCTTGTTTAGGTAGAATGTTCAGTACACAAATGGCTCCATAATTCAGAAAAAGCAGGATACTGCCATTCTTTAGATAAATTTTATATACACACGCACTAGCCAAGCCTTGACCCACATGAACAATTTGAACAAGTCTGGCAAGCAGTATTCGTATGGATTGCATAATACGAAGTTCAAAATACACATGATCCAAATCAGGCTGTGTACATTTGGGTGAGTTGTCACATAACTCATCCTCCTCCAAACTTTAAGAGATTTTGAAAAAGAAAATGCTCGAATCTGATTAAATGAGGTTGGCAGGGCAGTGGACGCCAGCTGTGAGGGCTGCTGGTATGCCACTCCCTCTCAGGCCTGCTAATGAACCCTGAAGGCAGAGTCACCACTCCGTTCCCTTCTAAAGTGTTGCATGAAGCTTGGTCCTGTACGTTACTGGATCTGATCCACAGACCCAGCCTGTGCTAAGGTACAAGGATGCTCTGAAGAAGGTCAAAGAAAAATGGAATTGAAAGATAATTTTTTTGCATAAAAAATATGAAACCCATGAGGAATCTTTGAAAAGTTCATGGAAATGCATTTTGGGAAAAATCTTTGCATGTATTTCCTTTGGCTTTTTTGGGTGTTTTTTTTTTCCTTATCATACATTTATTAATTGGAAATGTAGGTTTACTTCCCAGATGACTACAATGACCAGGGCTGGGCCAGGCCAAAGCCAGGAGTTTCATCTGCATCTCCCACATGGGTGGCAGGGGTCCAAGCACTTGGGGCATCTTTCACTGTTTTTCTCAGACGCATTGACAAGGAGTTGGAGCAAAAGTGGAGCAGCATCACAGGCTGTGACTTAACCTGTTACAGCACAATGCTGGCCCTATAAACCTATTTTTTCATGACATTTTCTATGAACTTTTGGAAAGACCTGCTTATAAATTTGTACTTACCAAGTGTAAATAAGCTCCATTTCATTCATTTGGTTATGCCAAAAAGCTTGAGGGTCCCTGCTTTGGTCCATTTTTACTGTATTTCATTGTTATTTGGTGCCAAAAGCAGTGGTTACTCTGCTACATTTGCAAAGTTTCATTCCTCCCACTTTAAAGATGAGAAGAGTAAGGCTTAGGAAGACTAAGCTGCCCAATGAAATACAGGAAAGCAGAAACTGGAATGTATAGGTGTGTGATTGAGGAATAGGAGTCCCAGAAGACCAGACCCTCGTTCTGATAGGCCAAAGAATAGCTTAGGAGCCTTGTACAAGTGACACATCTTCATTTGCAGCAATGGGCAAAAGTATACTGAAGCACTCACCTGCTGACTACTGACGGGACTACAAGAAAGTATTTACACCCAGCCAGGACTCCCAAGTCATTACATACCTGGGACATGGGCAACTAGCCAAGCTGGAGAACCTGTTGATGATGATGACATCGGTTGCCACAGAAGCAGATTTGGGAGCACAGGGATAAGGGAGAGTAATGACATGAGCACTTAATAAATATCATCTTCCCAACAAATGTATCCGGTTCCAAAGCCAATGCCATTACTCATGGTATCAAACAACCCTCTGCTATAACACCGATAGATTTTACTGAAAGTTTGCTGTGAGCTGGGCATTCAACCCAAACTTCTCCTGTATTATTTTGTGTAAGCCTCACTATTTCTTTAGGCAGTGGGTTTTATTGTTTGCCTTTTAGAGCTAATGAGTTTCAGATGCCAGGGATGTTAAGTAAATTTTCCAAGTTTAGCCAGTTGGTAGGTGGTGGAGGGGCTTTGAACCAAAGTTGCTCTGAGTCCAAAGCATTTCTGCTACACCTGGGTGCCTCTTTCGAAGAAAAGATTCAGGTTCCTTGGATCCTGAAACTTCTACACCTTGGGGTAGATAATTTCAAATTTTTGGTAGAAAATTATTCATAGAACATTGAGTACAGAGCCTGGAAGGAAGTGGTGCCCAGAGTTATTTCTGGCAATGCTGCTGCTGGGAAGTCCATGCTGCCCTTGCTTTGCACTTCATTATTCGCTATCTTTCACGTTTATCAGTCTGTTGTGATGTTGCTTCCAAATCAATAGAGCTGATTTATTGCCCCAAGACCAAAGACTCACACATATTTGTATGAGAAGGAATAGTTTCCATCTGAAGAATTGTTTTAAATAGCCTTTAAGAAAACTAACTTAAATATAAAGATAGTAAGAGTACATTCTGTGGTAATTATATGGATAACCAAAAACAAAACAAAAGACCCTGCCCTCTCTGCTCAAGCTTTCCTGCTAGCTATGTGACCTGTCTCCAATTCCATTTCCCTTCACTAAGTCTCAGTGTACTCAATTTTAGATTCGGGGCCATTAGTTAGTTCATCATTAACTTTCTTTCCAACAGGAACATTCCAGGGGCCTAATTGAGTAGAGGAATGAATGAAATGGTTGCTGCTTGACTGAACAGCTCTGGCCATTCAGCTGTAACAGTTGTTCTTTGGTGAATCGTCTAATTAGGATGTTTTGTTTTACCCAAGATTTGTGCAGAGACCATCATAACGGAAGTTTTTTAAAGAGAGAAGAGTATAATGCTTTTTTTCACTTCCCACTCCCGACTTCCTGGAGTCTATTAAAGAGAACTGTTGGATGAGGTG